AAAAAGATTTGCGTCAAAATGAAGAATTGAAAAAGTATAATAAGAACTTAAAAGTGCCGGGAGAGCGTTGATGTGATTTGGGTGAAGGGAAAAAATTATCAGTAAAACAGTTTCCCCATTTTGAAGGTTTCTACAAATTCTTTAAAAAAAATATGTAGATATATATTTGACGAAAGTTAATATAATTTGGGTCGAGCACAGAGTGTTCACTAAAAAACTTGTCCAGTTCGAAGGAATCTACAAATTAATTGAAAAGAAAGGCATAGAAGTATTAACACAGCGTTGTTATAGTTCGAGTCAAATAAAGTAAGGTTTATCGAAACTGGAGTCTATTTTAAAGATATATACAAATTTTTTTATAAGAAAGACGTAGAAGTAGAAGAAGAGTGTGGGTATAATTTAGGTCGAATGTATAGTGTTTTCCGCAGTTGCTCACTTTGGTTGTTAAAGAAAAAAATAGCAATATTAGTAAAGCATTGGTTTGATTTACTCAGTCTTTAATAATAGATAATAATGAGAGAACATGAGAACATGGCTTTTGCTAGAGTAGCAAAAGATCTGGACAGATGGAGGCAGATCGTGGGGGAATCTAATGTTCATATTGGACTGTAGTAAGAAGAAGAAGAAATGATAGATAAATAAATGAAAAAATAAATGTTATTTTGCAAAATGCAATTATTTTATATATATCCGACCAAACCTTTTTCTGTCAACTTCATCAGTATGCCCCCTTACTTATTAAGATTTCTGATGTGTCCGAATTTCAAAATTATGTTAAGTTTATAGGGTTCTTATTTGGCACGAACTGTGCAAAAAAAAAATACCTGATTATTTTGTTGAAGTCTAACAAAACAAAAGAATAAGTAAAAATTTATAATAAAATACTTTAATGAACTCAAGTTTGCCGCAACAATGTAGTAGAAACAGAGAATTTCTAAATTTTGTAACGGATGTGCGCAATTAGACGCAGAGTATGGAAGTATGGACATATAAACGGCAACCAAGCATGAATATTAAAAAAAAATAGATACCGAAACTATTGTTAGAAACAAAAAACCATATTCTTCTTACTACGCCTTCACTTGAAGAAGCGAGTGTCTGGATAAGGCGAGTAACTGCAACAATATTTAACGCAGCAACAATCTGCCGTTTCTGGGTGCTTCATAACAATCATGCTCTTACGATGTGGATTGGGTTGCTTTGTTGCTTTGCACATCTTCAATGGTCATTTTATTTCATCCTCTCAATTGTATATCAGCTTGTAGCAATGTTGTTGCATCCTTCTACAACCAAATGCATTTGGCGCTGTTATGTTGCTGACTTACAAAACCAACAAAACCGAAAACAACATAATCCTGATATTGCCGGAGGCATGAATGAGGTGTATCTGACACCTGGTTTTGCGTTAAATATATGAAAGCCAATATGCTCGGTCTGGGTTGTTTATGTTTTCTAAGGGAAATATTAAAATTTGTAATGAAACTAATAAGTTTGTTTACGAAAATATTTTAATTTATTTTTTATTTTTTTTGGAAATATTTAATTAAAATTTGAAATATTATAACAAGCATGGATAACCATTTATTTGCTTTTAACACTGTTTTCCCTTTGGTGTCTGTTTACAATACAGACTTGCAAAGGAAGGTAGTTTAGGTTAGGTTGGATGCAAAGTTATATTAACCAAAAAACACTCC